CCCCCCACACACACACACACACACACACTCGTGACTGTAATACTGGAAGCGTCTCCACCGCTTCAAGGCAGGTGGATCGCGCGAAGCCCGTCGACTGGCGTCACTGTTTTCCCGGATGCGCGTGCAGACTTTTTGCGACAAGCCTCTTTTTCTCGATTTGCGCAGCGAATGAGACGGACTGGTTGCGAAGTGTACACGTGTTTAGTCCGACGCCACAAAAGCGATGCAAGGAAGTGCTCCGGTGTTTTCCGGGGAGGCTCGTAGACTCCCGCTCCATTCAAGCGCGCGGAAGCGGGGGCGGGCGGGCCTTGGCGGCCATTTTGGAAAGTGTGTTCGTTCAGCTTCTCGGTGCCTCGGGAATCGGAGCCACGACGATGCTTCCCAGCGTTTGCTTGGCTCTCGCGCTTGGAGATCTTTTTTTTTTCTTTCTTTCTGTACAACTAAAAAAAAAACAAAAATACAGCAAAACTCATCTGAAAAGTCTGAAGAACATCTTGATATGTCCGGCTATTGTGGTAAATATGTTTGAGGAAGGGACTGCGGCGTCTCCCCAGGGAGGCCATCGGTGGTGCGCTTAGTGCCCCCCGCTGGAACCCGGTGGATTGTGGATCCAGTCGAGAACTATGAGTGACAGGCTGCCAATCATGAAGACGATTCCCACGACCAGGAAAACAGCAGCCTGGGGTGCGAGACCAGAACAAAATAATATGAAATGCTTTTGGATAAGGGAGGACGCGCGGCGGGACTCCGGTGAAATTTCTGATGAGTCACATTTTTGAAATTGGGGCCCCGCCTGCCTGGGTATGTACTCGGAAAGTTGAGACGTTGAGAAAGCGCTGACGGCGCAATAACTGGATGTGTGGACCCACCCCGATTTTCTGTGGGGAGCGAAGTGGGACCGTCTTCACCAGGCGGAGGTAAAAGGCCGCGGGGAGGATAAAGATGAGCATGGTGGCCGCCGAGGAACCTGACCGACAAATGAAAAAGGACGTTCAGAAAAGCATCATAAAAAAAAAATAAAAAATCCATCCCCACCAAAAAAAAAAAAAAAATGCATTCCACATGCTGTTGGTCGCTCCCAAATGTTCAAACTAGCATTCGTTTTAAACATTGAATTGAATCCGGGAGATTGCAGTCATTCAGTGTAGAGCGGTTGGATTTAACCTTTCACTACAACGCCAATCAGACGTTTTAATTGACATCCAATTATATTGAACTTGGCAGGCCGCTCTTCAGAAGGCACAAGTTTAATCATAATACGATGCAATGCGACTTAAAGTTGAAATGAGGTCGTAGCGTAAGACGAAGAGATAAAAGTGCTAATCACAGACCGGTATTTAACCCATTCACTCCCAAAGACGTTTTTAAACGTCTTTTCAGACTTAGTCCAGAATTGGCTGGTCCTGAATTAAAACAAAAACAAAAAAAAATCACTATATTTAATGTTTTGGTGGTAAAGTGCCACGAAGAATCTTTAAACTGAATGGCCTCGATTTTTTTTTTTTTCTCACGCGACCGGCGAGCTGACACGACCTGACACTTTAAGCTTCTGCACTTTTTCTTGACTTCACTAAAACACCCTCTGACCCGAAGCCGCTAATCAGACCTCCGCGATAGATCTTCACATGGTCTCCTATGGGATTCCCGCGGGTGCTTTTCCTTCCCTTTTTTTTTTTCTTTCTACTCACCGATGAAACCGAAGATGTCTCGGATGGTTGGGACGAAGATGACCAGCATGTTGTTGAAGAACAAGATGCAGGCGGCGATGAGCATGTGGCGAGGCCAACTGAAACTTCGGCCGCTGAACAGCAAAGTGGTGATGGAGGAACGGATCTGAACCACAAAAAAAAAAAAAAAATTCTCGCATCAAATCGATGATGAGGAAAATCGTAGTTTATTTCCTAAATATTTGGAATAGCTGAGACATGCCCGTCCCAAATGTTAAATAAGGTCATGTATGGGACATACGGCTTTTCCGGTTTCGACTTGGCTCCTAGCAAACAAGTTGAGACGGATTCACTCATACCCCCCCTCCCCCCACCGCCCCCCGCCCACTCCCAAGACACGATTTATCTACTTTCACTTCCTCACCAAATGTAAAATTACAGAGAAGCACCGCAGCCATGCGCACAAACCGGTTCGCCAACCAAAGACATTTCAGTGTGTGGGTGTATAATTTAACAGTGCAACTTTGTCAACGCTCGCTAACACACACACACACACACACACACACACACACACACACACACACACACACACGTGCATGTCCACACTTCGCAGTCAGGGCGTTTACATGTAAATAACTCGAATGCCGTTTTGAAGTCATGCTCCAAATCGCCGTTGCAGTGTCAACAAAACGGCGTGAGCCGCGCCGTTCTGAATCGTCTCCTTGTGGAAATGTCGCGTCCACTTTGTTACATCGCAAATTGCCGTTTATTACGTTTGAAAACGATTTTATCGATCGAGCCGAGCTACCCAGTCGCCGATGGCGTAGCGATACACTGACTTGTGGGCGGGCAAGCGCGGCGGCGTCGGTTCCCACTCGGTGATGGTGTGCATGTGGTTGCGAATGGTCATCTGTCTCTATAGTTGCCCTGTGACTGGCTGGCGACCAGTCCAGGGTGTAGTCTGTCTTCTGGCCGAAGTGAGCTAGGATAAGCAACCCTATTCACGATATCAGGATAAGCGGGGTTGAAAATGTATGTATGTCGGCTGGATGGTTAGCTTAGCTGCCAATACAGTCAAATGCATTGCAAGCGTCTGTGAAAACCGGCGGCTATGTTTTGTGGAACAATAAAGCACCTGTTGTTTTGACTTGCGATTTATCAGGATTTGGTTCGACGGGATAAGAACTCGAAATTGAAGCAGGGCCTCACTTCGCTCCGTAACAACATAATTTGGAGCCTCGTTCCCACACTTGGCATTGACTGAAGTGTGTCAAAAAAGCTGTGTGGACATTTGTGCCAAGGAAAAAAAAAAAATGTGTGCGTATGTTAAGAGAGCCGACAGATCCCCCCCCGCCGCTAAGAGGCGCGGTATTGCTTGAGCCACAGGCAGCCCCCGTTCAAGCCTCCAGTGGGTGAAAGGTCTCCTGGATCAGGTGTAGCCTGAAGCAAGCAGAGGCAAGCCGGCTACACGGCGAAGGAGTTAAAAGGCGCAGGGCTTGAGGGCGCTCATTCAAAACCGCGGCAAGGATTGTCCTGCGCCGTGCAAGGCAACCGTCAGGTTGCATCAGCCAAGCAGCGAGAGAAAGGCGGAAGGGGAGGTGGAGTGTGTGTGTGTGTGTGTGGGGGGGGGGGGGGTCATTTGTAGTTTACAGTTGTTTATTTTTTTTACAGCTGGCCTCGCTCTCCTTTCTCTTTTGCAGTTTTATTTTATTTTTTTAGCTACACAAGCTATGTCGCCCACGTTGACAGATTTATTTCTAATGATCACGCTCAAGTAGGGCAAAAAAAAAAAAAAAAAAGTCATATTTTCTCCAGTCCAAACCAGGTGACCTTCATTACGACGCAGTTTTCTGGGATTACAGCCCAAACCCCGTCAGCGCGAAAAGAGTTATTTGAGATCCCGACAATGATTTAACCGCTGAAAACCCGACAACCTCGCACCCGCCGTTCCCCTTTCTCCCACCGGCTGTTGCATAATGAAGCTGGGGAAAACTCGAACCGGGACGGGGCATTTCTCTCCGAGGCTCCAAAGTATTCGGCGCCCAACTGTTAACCTGGCGTGAAGCCTTTGGAGTACACCGTGTGATATTTGTACACTTTTGACTCCTGCTATTTACCTGTCAGACACTCCCCTCCCCCCCGATCCCCTCCAAACACACACACACACACACACAAACACACACACACACACACAAACACACACACACACACACAAACACACACACACACACACAAACACACACACACACACACAAACACACACACACACACAGTGAGAATGTGGATGAACGAGTAAAACAGACAGTATGACCAGTCACGACTCGATTATGTTGTTCCTTATTCATGAAGGCATTTGCAAACCTCACGCTGACTTCAAACATACGTGAACACGCACAGCTACATTCAAATCTCGAGACAAAAAGGAGAAGGTGTGCTGGTTGCCACGTAAATAAATAAATAGCCCGACTGATGCCTTTTCAGTTTTCACATCTTAAGCGTCGAAAATAAAACCTTAAAATTCAGCTAGCTAGCTAGCTAGCTCCGAAAATGCGATCGTCCGCGAGTGTGGAACTGCTGTAGCGTGCCTCGTTGTTGGCATTGAGTAGGCACTTGTCACTCAGAAGTAGACAGAAGAATGAGGAGCGGGGGATTGTTTTTGACAGACAGGTGGGCCTGGTGCAACCGCTTTTGAGCGCCTCGTTGTCATGGTGAGGGAAAGCGACGGGATTCCAGCCACTGCCGACTTGAAGCAAATTTTGAAGACCTTTATTTTCACTTGACAGCGACTTAAAAAAATGTTTCGACTTTGATCATCAATTACGTCGGATGACGTGTCGCGGTTTCACGTGATGTCGTCGGTTCAAATCATCGACGGCAAAACTTGCTGAGTCCTTCGTTCCTTAGTCACTGCGATTAGACTCTCATGACTTGTCATGTAATTTGGGGCATGGATTACCTTTTAAAAGCTGACGCCAAGTTTAATGAGTGTGACATTAGGCAAGTTGTGTGTTCCAGCGAAATGCCCGAGGAAACTCAAATCAGTTTTTTATTTTCATCGGGAGTCCGATGCGGCACAGGGGCATTTTGAAATTGCTATTTTGCGCATAAAGATGGCGGTTAACCCGATCTTCAATAAGAGCCTGAGAACTGGGACATGTCTGCCTCCATGCAAAGCCCCCTCATAATGCACTGAATCCTGGCAAAGCCCTGTGTGATCCCCACCTCCGTTTTGTATCTGCTCTCACGTGACTGCACATCGTACGCGGTTTGTGCCGTCCAAACACACGCGTTATTTGCGCCGTCGCGTATATACGACTTCTCCGCGGGAGACCGAGGACGGCCGGCCGCAGACAAAGCTTCATGTTAATCTTTCGCTGAAGGTCGCCAAGCAAAGTAAAGGTCAGGCGAGGATTCAATGCGAGATCCTCAAATGTCAGGTGGAAACTTGGCAGAGGGACAAACGCCGCTTTCCCGTCTGACGTCTCACCTGAAGGCAAGGTTGTCCCTGTCACGGTACAATGAATGCGGCACAACGTACTGCAGACTTGGCAATTTGCGACAAATAGGTTATTGACAGGCCAAATATGCTCTAACCACTGGTGCAGAGCGATTCAAACATGTACTTCTGCCTTGGTTAACGCCCTGCCCTTATTTCTGACACTTATGTTTAGAGTTCTTGCGTGTTTTTGTGTGGTTTCGGGAAATTACCATCGACCCCCAGATCCACCTCTACCATGGGAAATGATCCAATTTCTTGGACCAAAGATGATTTACTTACAACAAATAATAAATATTTCTTCATCTATCTATGCCAGCAATGTATAGTGGTAGTGATAGCAATTAAATACTGTATCTTCCACAAGATGGCAGACAATTCGCAGTTTCCTACCTTGGAGTTGCAGGAAAAATTCTGGCTAGTAAGATGGTAGCAATCTGTGTCGAGCAAGTGTTGTTTAAATAAGGCGGTGTCTAATTTTTGTCGCGGGCCACATTGTAGTGACCAATTTAGCAATCATCGTAGAAGTTGACATGTTTGATTTGCTTTCGCGGGCCACATAAAATGATATGGCGGGCCAGATCTGGCCCCCGGGCCTTGAGTTCGACACCTGTGGTTCAAATGATATGGAATTCAACTGCACCGAGCACAGCGCAGTGCAACTTTTCGGGTTTCCAATCTTTTTGCCCCGGCTCACGCAGCTAAATAAGACCACGAAAAGATTCGAAACGAGTCTGTGTGATGCATTGTTCCATAGCGCCCCCTCAGGCTAGCCCTAAACGCTGTGGTCAAGGTGAGGGTTTTTCCACTGTCCACTCCCAGCCAGTAAACTTCCATTGCGGGGTTGGGGGGGGGGGGGGGGGGGATGATCCTCTCGCTCCCCCTCCCTCCTACCCTCCCTCAGATACATTTGCTCCACTCGAATCCACAGTGTCATGCAAAGAGCGTGTCTGGATGTCAATGTGCTTTTGTGTTGGCGTGTATCTGAGGGTGATCGGTTACGAGGCGAAAACTCTCGCTTGATTCATGACTCATTCAGCGACGATGTAAAACAGTGAAGATGTGTTTTCAACACAAAGGGCTGCTGCATCAGCCCTCTCCGTCTCACTTGATGACTCACTGACAACATGGCCGCTGCTGCCACCTGGTGGCTGCATGCAGCCTCTACAACCCCACAACGACACAAGTTGCTATGTGACCAAATCTAAAAGAGGGCATGACACTTCCTCTTGGTCAGCAGCCAAATTTGTCCTTGTGTCAGATGAAGACCACGCTAAATTTAGACCCGGGCCATATTTGGAAAGGTACTATGTGAATGAATTTATCTGGGGGATTTCGGTATCATCATCACAGGCTTATTCGTTACTCAACATGCCATCAGACACTGAAGCAAGGAATGAGTGCCGATAGTTCGTATGCAAGCAATTGCGCCCCCTGTGTGTTAATTAAAGCATTTCAGCAACTAGAACAAGTGAATGTGGACTACACAGTGTTCAGCAGGCAAGAGAACATCAGCGGCGTCCTGATTATGACACAAAAATCACATCCCGAGCGTCGAGTCTCTTTGTAGTATTTATAGTTTTTCCTGTTTCTGTGAGTCAGGTAAACAGTGAAGATCTTAAGCATCAAATATACTGTGGGTGTAACCATGTTGACATTTTGCTAGTTTCCTGAATTAAACACTAGTATTTGATTGAAACCTAAAATAAATATAATGCAAGTATGTTGGGACACATTATGTTGTCAGATAGAAAAGGGAATTACAGCCACCTAGTGGCAGCAACAGACCTTCATATCTATCTAGCTAGCTAGCTAGCTAGATACTCTAGCTAGCTAGTTAGATTGTCTGACTATTGTTATTTTCAAAATGTGGTACAAGCACGACTAGTGGCACACAGGCACCCTCTAGTGGTATGAAAAATAGTGACTGAATTAAAAAAACGAAAGAGTGAAAGTGCAGTTCAGATGTATTCACGGTGTATGAACGGTGCGGTGGTCGACTGGTTAGCACGTCCGCCGCAATTTTGAAAATATGGACTCGGGGGTAAGGATAATTTTTCATCATTTCATTCAGTGACAGCTCAAACTAGCCGAAAAGGATAGCAGAAATCAACCACGCGTGTCTGATCGACTCTATTCGATACATGAAGGTACTTACAGGGAAGAGCACAATGGGGACAGTCAGCGTGACGGCAGTGAGGACAGCCAAACGCACCAGCAGTAGCAGGGTATCGAACTTGTAAACCTTGGTGAAGGTGTGAAGCAGCTCCGCCTCCACGTTTTCTGTGATTTTTTTTTTTTTTTTTTGCAACGGAAACAGGCACTTGTGAGATATATGGAAGAACACGGCACGGTGAACAAACCGGTCTTGTTAAGACATGACACTGAATCCTAGCACGGGTCCGTTCACATGCGCGTGCATGTGTGGATCCACATGAGAGAGAAAGAGAACGATCTGAGCGTTTGGACCATGTTTGGAGGCCGTCCGTGTGGGTTGCCAGGCCATGTTCTTTTATCAGTGCAATTCACACCGGGGCCGACTGAAAATAAACACTCGTTTGCAGGCCAACTGTGTCATGTTAGTATTCTTAGAAAATGTTTGACATTCAGGACGTGTCACTGGTGCCTCTGATATCGTTATCTCGGCCTTTGGTTGTTGAACTTGGACAATACGAATGCAAGATGTAATGTTTGGATGTACTTTTCAATGTTAAGGACCGTATCACAGTGCTGCTTCCTGCCAGTTAAAAACTGTGAAATACCGCCTACTTAAGACACATTAAGTGCAGTACATGAGTGGGTATAAAGCTTCCCGTGTCATGTCTGAACATAAAACTATGACAGAAAGTTCGAATATTTGATTAGTCATCTTCACATCGACAGTAACAAATCAGTTGTCGGGTTGTGTTACCGTAAAAGGTGAGGTAGCCGAATAGCGCCGACATCATATACATGACGAGCATCGCAAAGATGGACAGGTTGGAGACGGTCTGCATCTTCTTCCTGCTGCGACTGCAGAAATAACGCCATTTGGGGTTGGTTTTTTTTTTTTCATTGCCCACTGCTTTCAAAAGTACAGAATGTCGCGTTTGGAAAGTGCACTTACTCTTTCAGCTCACTGTAGATGGGCAGCACCTCGGGGTGGCACACAAAGGCAAAGGCCAGGATGGGCACAGTGTACGCCGTCTGGAGACAAATATCGTAGCGTTATGGAAGACTATTTGTCTTGTTTTAATGGGAGTAGGAGTCAGTCGGTCTTCAATTTTTTTTTTCTTTTTGAAAAGTGTCATGTCTGTCATTTTTCCGAAAATAATGTACTACACTGCTATTTGTTGGAGATGGAAACTTTGCCACCAAAACAAGATAATTGACCCCTTAAAATTGATAAAATTGCCCACATTAAGAACTTAAACTGTAAATACATCACAAACTAACCCGAACCCCAAAACAGTATCATAACATTTCAAACACGTGTTAGATTATTCTCAATCATAAATGCCTTCATTAAAAAAAAAGACTCTATAACTTCCAATAACAACACAGGCTAAACATAAACATCTCCTCAGTATACATAGTGGTGCCTAGACTTAGTTTAATTCGATCCATGACTGTAGCTCAAAACGCTAATTGACCAAATCATCTTTCCCCATTGAAGTGAATGGAAATGCCATTGATCTGTTCTAGCCCCACATTGTTGTGGTGAACTTGTAAATACCGTAGGAGGAGTCGCGAAAGTAAGAACTACATTCTTCCTGACAAGGACACTTAATTAAATTGGCTTTAGGGACCATTGTGAGTCACTGTGACAGATAGTTTTTAATTTATATCCCCGCGTTACGTTCTCGGTGGCACACAAAGACGACAAATCCTACATACAAAAGACACGACGCACCCTTCAAAACCGCCTTCACCAAACACTCGATTTCTCACCTTTTCACCTTCTTCAAAAAAAAAATCTAATAGCACTCCTTAGATGTAAGCAAGCAACCGCTTTAAGGCTTACCTGTGAGTTGAAGATAAAGTATTTGGGCGTGCACATGTCCTCGTCGTCGTGGTGCGCCTCGAAGTGGACGCCGGAGGAGGCGTGAGCGCCGTGGCTCTCCGTGACGGCCGGGGAAATGTCCGCCCGGGAGAAGTCCATCTGCTCAGAGCGGTTGTGTAACGCGTACACGCCCGGCATGTGCGAGGCGTTCATGCTTAGGTTGGCCGATGGGTGGTCCAGGAACGGAAGAGGGCAGGGGAGCTGAGTTTTCTTGTAGATCACCTGAGAAATTTATGTGGAGCTTAGTTAGGTGTGGTCACAGACAACATCTCTTTTTAATAGCAGCAACCTCTGGAGTGAGCAATTTAGGCCCAACTTCCTCAAAATGTAACCCTTCCGTGTACCCTGTAACCTGATAAGCTGTCCACTGTAGTAACCGCTGTCCCCGAAAGGGTTAAGAAAAATCTTTCCGGGTTTTCATTTTTGTTTTCAATTTCCATCTGCCGGACGAGGTTACCATAGTCGTACAGTCAAACCTCGGTTTTGGAACGTCTCTGTTCTCAACCAAATCGGTTTTCCACCAAATATTTCGAGTTTTTTTTATGCCTCGGATTACGAGCGAAAATCGGTTCTCGACCAAACTGAGCGCACTTGAATGCGCCACTTGACTCCTCTCGCCTTCCTTACGCGAGGAAGTGATGCTTCCTCGGATAGACGAGGAAGTGACACTTCCTCTTGTAGCGTTCTATTGTGAGCAGAAGTTTTTTTGTTAAGAGTGTGGTTTCGGTTTTCGAACAAATCGGTTTTCGAACAGCCTTCTGGAACGGATTATGGTCGAAAACCTGACGTATGACTGTATTTCTGAATCAGGTGAGAAGGGGCGGGGACGTTCATTTACTTCTGAAATTCTTTCCATAATGGACGTAAAACGACTCAGTGACAGTCGCCTTTACGCTAACGCTATCCTTGTAACAAAGGAATTTTGGAGTTAGATAATCAAATCCTTGTCGAGCAAATGTTATTTTACAAAAAAAAAAAAATAATAAATAAACTTACCACTCCCAGGAAGAACACCATGCAGGAAAGAGAAAAACCACTTGTGTAGCCCAGGTAGCCTGCAATGAAAACGAAATGACCGATTCATGGACGTGCAGACTCGGCTAGCGATGACAATGTCGATATCGTGGCTTGCTCTTACTCTGCCCTTCCTATAAACAGCTGGAAATTCGTTTGAATGTCGATCCCAGGATATGGGTCACAGATGTAGGTCGAATCGCCAAAAATAGATGGATAAAAGATGTGCGGGGCTAGTTTACAAGTAGGTTCTTTTACGAGTCGAGCTCTCCTTAATTCCAAAGCAGGTTTTGCGGGAGCCGAGCCATTGGAGCATTCAGCCTGGCCCATAAAACTCCATGCGAGCGATCCAGCTGACTCAAGGGCTTCGTGATACTTTGCTTGAAGTTGCATTTGCCAAAGCCGACTGAGAAACGGGTGTTAAATTACTTTCGGCTGGCGACAGGCGCCCGCGAGGATGCGACATGGATCTCGAACAACTAACAGCTTGTAAAGCGGGCAGTGATTTACGTCACTGGCCGGAACATTAGGAACCCCTGCACAATCCAATGCGGTTTGCCGATGTGCCAACTTACCGAGGTTTTTAAGCAGCGACAAGGGGAAAATAATTCCAATGGACACAAATATCACCAGGTAGTTTCCGTTCAGGTACCATTCACTGCACACACGGGGAGCCCAATCATGGATTAGCATTTGAAAATATTCCATCCATACTCGAAAACCGATAACGCACACTCACCCGGTGCTTTCTTCTAAACCCAAGAATGCCCGAATCACTTCCGGCAGCTCGTACTTCACAATAAAGAGGTAGCTCGACATGGCTGCAAAATGACATCAAAGTTTAACCAAATATTTTGATATTTTTTTGAATTTATTCTGTTCGAATCACTTTTTCTTAACCTGCACCTTACCGCCGATATTTTGCATAATGATGGATCCAAACGCCGCTATCTTTCCCGGCCATCCAAACGCCCTTTCTCCCAGTTTTTCGTAGATAAGGGATCCTGTGATACGATTGGACAATTAGCCGCTAAAAAGCTTCAAGAGCACTAAAATCCTTGATCTTGATTACCGACCTCCTTCTTTAGCGGTCATAAGGAGCAGATGCACAGAATACAAGGAGAGGATGGCGACCGCTATCAGAAGGAGTCTAAGAAAAGCAAAGATTCATTGTTAACATGAGAAAAAAACGGAATGACCTGGTTTCCTCATTCTCATGATGCAAATATGTCTTGACATGATAGCTACTCACGTAAACAAGACAATGCCCGTGTTGGCCATGGCGTACGACAGGCCCAGGATCCCGCTGCCCATGATGGCGTTGCTTAAGTTAAAGACGGACATTCCAAAGGACGTATGGCCCGGATGCTGCTCAGAGTTTCAAAAAAAATAAAATCAAAAAGACAAAAGAGACGAAGCCGTGATTACTTTTTGATGAGCTCATCTTTGTCGTAATCCATCACCGCAGCCCACGGAACAATGAAAACCGATTTATGAGTGTACTCACGTATTCTTCATGGTACTCTTCATATTTCTTCTTCATCATTCCATTCGTCAGGAACTTCTGGCTCTCGCCATCATCCATGTCGTCCAGGAACTGACTGCAAAGGCGCCGAATGAGCACAAAAGCGTTTTTTTTTTAAGAACGTCTACCGGAATAGTTTTTGGTGTGATCTGCATGGCGGTACGCACCTGTTGATGGTGGCCTTTTCGGAATCGATGGTCTCGGTGAATCGGTCATCCAAACTCTCCATGCTGTCGTCGTCGGCCTCCGTGGCGACTTTCCTCAGCTCCATGCGATCCACGATTCCCGGCATTATGGTTCACGGCGGGGTGACTTTTTCCAATGCTCGCTTGACAGTCTCAGCGGTCACAAGATAGCAATGTGCTCCTTTAACCCCCGCTTAACTGCTTTTTTATTAATTTTTTTAACCCTAATATGACCCTAAAAAGGAAACAAAATCAATGTCAGAGTTGCTTAAAGAAAAATCCATGTTGCAGATGACTTTTTGACATGTTTCCACTAGCAAATGAGAACCATTTCCAGGAACTGTTTGTTCTGTTACCTCACAGCGGAAACGGTTCGCTTGACACAACACGGGCGTCTCTCGTATGCCGCTCGTCAATTCAAATTTCAAAGGCGATAAGCTTAATAGTCGATCCAGTTTTGTCTTGTATACAGAAACATGCCAAAGGCGGCATACTACACATCGAGATGGATGATTCTGAGTAAAGTCAAGTGGTGAAACGAGGTCACGGACGCAAGGAGTTCTTTAGCCGTCAAGAGGCCCCCTTGTTTGCGTCGGAGGCCTCAACGAGCCACTGGGGGAAGGAGGCGTGCTTCACATTTTCCACTTTAACATCATTATTATGTCATGTAGACATTTAGTGGAACACAAATTGCTGTGTCCGTCCTACAAAGAGCTCTTAGACCGGAGCGAGAATGGCCGTGTGTCGAGTAATCCTCAATGTGATCAAATTCGACACCATGGTAGATAGATACAGTGGTACCTCTACTTACGAAATGAATTGCTTTTGGAAGAAATTTTTTCACAAGAAAAGTTTGTAAGTCGAGACGCGTTTTCCATGTAAATGCCCTAATTCGTTCCAAGCCTCTTTAGTGCATGTTCTCTCTCAGAAGTGTTTTTTTTTTCCCTGGCGTGTTGGAAAGAACTGATCCAAGGACGTTTGCTTTTGTCAGATTTTAATAATCCTTCGAAAATGTCCAAGGCAAACATCAGCAAAGTGAGCAATCGCCCGACTGGTGAACACTTTTTCTGGGTGATTCACATTTACGTAAAACCATCGGAACACCTCCTGGGCCAATGACGAGGACACCTAACTATCAATCTACACACACAGACACATATGGTAGAACTCCCTCTTAGCCAATGGGATGCCAGGATGAAGCTCGGTAATAGCCAATGGCAGAGCAGCTATGAGTAAGTTGCGTTCAGGAAACTTGCAGCTGCGTGTAGCGGGCCAGACTGTATTTTTACCTTTCGTATCTTGAAATTTCTTTCGTAAGAAGAGGCAATATTTTCCCGTTGCGACGTTTCGTAACTTGAAAATTTCGCATGAAGAGACGTTCGTAAGTAGAGGTACCCCTGTCGAGCTGAATCTTCACTTAGCCCGCCCTCGATGTTGTGACACGTGCCTGTCCTGTGGTCGCTTACTTTCTCAGAGTAACTTTTTGGCTAGTTAACGCTTCTCACAACATTTCCATGCCATGATGTTCCACAACCACAAAGGTATCATTTGCCCCGACGACTTGTTTTACTCGACTAGAAAGAAGCCGCTGAGCTGAAGCATCTTTGCATCACGATACACATGCTCTGTTTACAGTCAATAGGTTCTCGTGAACTGACGTCAAGAGATTTGATCAACAAACCGCCTGACCGTCACTGCTGATTGGATTTAACACACAGTTAGTCACATAATTTTGTTTCGCCTCTCTGGATGGATCCCCGGCGTGTGTTTTAACCCTTTCAGGGACAGTGGTTACTACAGTGGACATCCGATCATGTTATCAGGTTACAGGGTGCATGAAAGGGTTAAGCCGATGAGATTATGCGTGTACATTACCGCTAAGAACCATATCCCGGACCCACAAGTCCGCCTAATTCCTATTGTGTTGCCTTTTGATGCCTGCATGTTGACTTATCAACGGCAAGAGGATTAACCTGTCCGACTGGGTCTCGACGCCATATGATGATATCGCCTCACCTATACTGGAGTCACGCGCACCGCATCCCGCTTTGCGATTTAAGCTTGTCTAGCCGTGACAAACGAATTGACACATCACATTTTAAATGCGCATTGACTGGCTACATCTGGAATACACATGAAACCATGCGTCTGTGCGGAAGATTTCCTTGGGAAAACCCACACACTCGTAAATGTGTCCAAGAAACATAGAATGTGACAATCCTTGTGTCCGGGAAAGTTTCCACTCTTATTTTCAGCCACCGCATGTGTTTTTTTTTTTTTTTTTGTTAAATGCCACTCAGGGTCACACACTGACCTAATTTGTTGAGACGGGTTTTATATAACTCGCTAGCATCAATAAATAGTCACTAGTGCTGCAACTCCTGTGCGACAAAATCTCTCAAAGGTCTATGAGGCGAATTGATCAATATCCACACATAATGTTACCAATTCAAAAAATATGATGGAAAAAAAAATGGCATTGAGTCACAATACTGTCGCCGGTCTTATTTTGGTTTCATTCCTAAAACTTTTTTCTGACCCTATTTCTCCACCTCCGCCCAAGCATCGTCTTGCATCAGCCAACCACTTGAGCACAAAATTCTTTCAGCAAGGCTGCAGAAAAGTGAGGAAAGTAAACAACAGCTGTTTTTTTTCTTCTCCCCCGCCCAAAATATTCACTGCAGCCCCGTCATGCATCAAGAAAAGGCTCCAAATTGCACATTTGCATACTTTGGAATCAGGCTAAAACATGAAATAAAAAGCTAAATTCCTAACACACTTTAAAATAGAACAAACGTACTCACACTTTACGAAAAATTCCTACAAAAGAGAAAAAAAAATAATGATCTTGACCGCTTTTATCTTGGCCCAAAAATATGTTTTTCGTCGTCGGACAGTAACAGAGAAGTGAAGGGTCGAGAAGCTGCGGGGCTATTTTGTAACTCAGGTGAGAAAGGGCCGCTTTAAAAAGGGGGGAGGGAGGACTTCGGTCACCCAATCAGGACGGGTCTCTCCTTTTGAGCACACTCATAAGAATCCCCCCCCTGCCCCCTTGCCCCCAATGCGCACACAATCACACACTTGCACAAACTGCCTCTGCCAAAACGAAAAATAGCATCATTATGATAGATTTACATGATGATGAGCGTCGGACACCATCGCGCACTCGTGAGCCTCACGTGTCACGTCCGATATCGTGATGAGAAGTCACGTGACCTTCCTTTTAAAAACGAACCTACCAAAGTCGCAGCGCACACGCACATGACGGCCCACCACACACACATTGCCAGCTTGCGCTGTTAGGCGCGAGCCCACAGTAGGCTGTGCCGCCTCTCTGCCAATCAGAACGCGGCGGCGGCGGGGGATGTCGCTGTGCCCAAGGTCGTGGACATGTCAAGGATATGAGGCGTTATCTTGTCACATCGTAATGTTCAAACAGAGAGAAACAGGCGAGCTCCACTTAAATGAACTTTGGAGAAACCTCAAATTGGGGGGCTCGTCACGATCAATTCTCGTCCTTCCGAATAATATGTGGAAAATCCACGATAGCCTGGACAAAAAACACTTTTTTTTTTTTTTTTTTAACCACATGCTTTAAACATATTTGAATTTATTGAATCACCCACAATACAATAGAGAATACTGGACATGAGTGTTCAATGCTCTCCCGGCATTCGATTAACAGCTAAAGGGTTCACTGGTGACTGTGGCTGTCCTTTCCCACATGTGAAGGCATTGCAGACAGTATACTGCAAAAAAAAAAAAAAAATCTCTAATTTGACCATGAAGCAGGAGAAGATTGTGCCAAGATTGTGTCAGTTGATTCCTTTAGTGACTAGCCGGGAAGTATAACGGCGCATTAAACTGCAAAAGAGGCTCAAGTGGACATTTTGGATAAAAATATGTTGACTTGTTTCAATCAGTCAAAAAAAAAATGGCCATCTTGAGCGGAACCTTCAAAACATTGTTCAGGAAGAACCTCAATCGGCGAAAAAAAAACAAACGGCATTAACCTCCTAACACATATCCTCTGCCGCAGTACATTACCACCCCCCAAAAAGTCGTTAAAGTGACACACGGCAGCAATTTACGCCAAAAGTCAGTCCGGCAACATTCCTCAGATAACTTTGACTGCTCAGCCAATCACCTGTGACCAGAAAACTGCGATACTGCAGGAAAGCTGGAGGGGGAGGACTGAGGGGGGATGGAGTAGGTGCCGCAAAGTATAGCGTCCCCCACTACAAGCGTGCGGCCATGTTGCAAATAATCCGAATACTCTTCTCCAGTTTTGAGAACGTAACCCTGCCAAAAGGAACACTGTGACACTTGAAGATCAGTTTCCTGGCAACAATGGGGCGGCCGCTCGGTCGCCGCACCGTCACCTTTGTTGACACCCGCCCCCGTTATGAAACACCATATTGCTATAAATATATTCACATACCGCCATGGAATTTACCACCGTCGATAAGTCCTGTGTCTTTTTTTTTTTTGCAGACCTTGAACCAACTGTCCCTCCGCCAACGACGTATTAGCCAACTATAATGGTCTGAATAATGCACCACCCTTGAATTTGACTACCGGTGAACGTCTAAATCCAATCCGGCGTCGTCAAAGCAAACTTCCAGTCTCTTTACTTTGTGAGTGTCTTACTTGACCTAGTTTACTTGATGCGACCGATTTCAAAAGTCGGTCAATAAGATGCCAAGTGGGGCATGTTTGTGCCACCGCCGTCGATATCAAAAGGTTTGTTCACCCCCCCCTTTTTTATCCGATCCCCCTACCGCGTGACTAATTCAAGTCAGTATCAGACACACGGAAATGGGACAGTCCATCCCACTGCCACATGCTAATTCAAAGCTAGAATCTGAACGCGAAAGTGCTAAATTCATCCGAAACCTCCGGATGGGTCGTTAAAAACTGCCCACTGCCCTCGTGACGTACAAAACCCGGATCTAATAAATCGAACAGAAACCGTACAGAGAATTTCAAAAACAGAAGGAACCTGATCTTGGGTATTAATTCTTCAGTCGACTGTTAAAATCCTTGAGAGCTCTATCGAAGGTTTGACATTGCCGGCGGGGCCTCGAAGAATTTCACAGGTCTGAGACGAGGTATATTTCTGGCCACGGTGTTCCGCGAACGTGTTTACGAAAATGCTGCCCTTGAGTATGACATAACAGCATATGCATATGATAGTGAGGAAAGACATTGAACAAACTCGTCGACTCATCTACAAGTCAACTCGGCATCGATGTTTAAAGCCTAAAGTCCACTAATCACAAATCGTAATGTTTGGCTTCTCGCCTTCCCATTGGCCAATTTACAGAGAGGACTTTGGCTTGCCCATCACTGGACTATACCACGGATCCTGCCGATAAAGCAACTCAGCAACTCGAATGTCTGAGTGTATGAAAATATGATTTTTGTGGGCAGGGCTGTACATCCAAATTTGATTTATATCCACTTATGAAAGAGACCAAAAAAAAAACAACTGAGCTGCAGTTTGAACAGCGCTAACATCTGTCAGAATTTCCAAGTGCCACGCGCACAAACACAAAGCTTGTGCGGCGCACACAATTGCCTCAGCCATTCCTAGTCTGTCCGTGTTCCCACCTGGGAGAGTTCTGTCATCGACGTGACAACTCTCCTTACGTCACTGCCGGGGCACATGTTGTGATGAATGCACGCATAACAGATAGTACGTCAAAACATATAGACAAACCACCAATGGCGTGACATGACGACAGCGGTAGCAGCTCGTATGTCCTAACCTTGTTTGTGACCTGTTCCTCTTTCTTATCGCTTTGCATTGATCCGCAAACGTTTATGTGACGGCAGCGGCGTCCTCTCGCAACTCCTTGCTTGTGGGCGTCAATTGAGGAACAGAAGGGTGAGGGAGTTCAGCCCGGGAGATTCTGATGCTCCCTTGATTTATTTGTTGAACATATCGCCGTGCAAAGTGCTCAGCCAAACGACCAGGACGATCCAAGCTTCGAATTTAGCGCTCCGCACCGACGTAGTCATTTTCTTCCTGACATTATTTTCGATGTTTATATTTGTAACTAGACCCTTGATGTTTCTGTATTGTAACGGCTGCGTCTTTGCAAGCTTGAATCATTTGGCAATTGTCTGGTCTCCTTTGTCACTTGTTATGCAACTTGTGGGCAGGCTTGTGCATATTGTGTACGAGTTACGGCGGTTGCCTCCCTCAGCTTTGCTGCGCGAGGCTCAGGCAGCAGTCTCACCCCTGTTTTCCTTGGCCTGTCAAAAGGGTTGAAGAATGACTTGAAATGCTTTTTCCAATTCATTCTGCCGGGCCGCCTTGTCTAAATGCATAAGCAGGGCGCTGCAAAAGCAAACACAGCTTGTGTTTCAGACAATGGCTCTACAGAAAGCTCTCCAACATATCATTTCAAGTATGTGAAATTGACGAATAGTCCAACTCAAGAACAAACAGTCAAAGAAGCTTCATTTGTTTTAATTTTCGTTTGGAGACGTCGACCCTGATACTTTGGCTAGTTAGCATGTCACGCTAGCGGCTAACAAAACTGCTATTTTTGTGGGCCGATCTGATAACTGAGGAAATGAAGAATAAGCTCATAATTTGTTGCAACGTATGACTCGAAACTAATAAATAACACTCGCAGAACTGTTGTATAAAAGCAATATCGCACCCAAAGTTGTGACGTTAGCATCGCAGCGGTAACGATAACAAGCACAACATCACTCGCTCTCGCGTCACATTGTTTAATTGTCGGTCAAGCCAAGGGTCCAAGCAGCTGTGTGGGCAAACATCCCACCGTGTTTACAAGATCTCAAACGACACACTGAGCCCTTGTGGTTGACCTGTGACCTCTGACCACCATGTGGAAAATAGGAAAACAACCCCCCACACCCCTCCTCCACGAGTACCAACAGTGCTTGTCACTAAAACGAGAAGAGACGGTCCCTCGGATAGGGCGGTCCACCTTCGGGGGGGCTGAAGACTGAGACGTATGAGCTCAAGCGTGTCTTGACAAGTTGTGCACCGCACATGAATCGGCTTGACGCCGCGCTGCGAAATTCATTGCTCAAGTGTGACCGCAACTTTCGCCCAAGCAGTTATTACTTCTGCGGTTTAATCACATTTTTACATGGTGGATTAAAGGTAGATAAGCGTTATAGACTTTTGAAAGTAAATCCTTGACCGGCATTTGAAATAATTTGAGTCGAGAGCAAAGAAAAAAAACTTAGATAAAAGTAAATTAATAAATGAACATTTTTTTTAAAAACTGCATCTTTAATTTTGGCCCACCGTCAATATTACATGTCTTTATTTTGTGCGACAAAAATGCTTTTTATCCCACTGGGGACCCACTCCAATTCCACAGTTGCTGTTTTTGGAAGCGGTTTCAACACCAAACTAGTTTGTAAGACCTAGAATGCTGCTTTCTACTTTTGTGTTTATTCGTATAAAAATTCATCTCAAAACGTTGCTCACATATAGACATAAAAAAAAACGACAAATCATATTGCATAACCAAAAAGAATATATGAGGTATTTCATTATATAATTGTTGTTGACCAGTACAGTATTACATCCACCTGACAAGTATTTACCACGGCGAGATAAAAGTCCATTCCTACTTAACATCATTTTGATCCTTGACTTTTAGCAGTCATTCCAGTGTTTCTTTCTTCAACGGAAATAAACGAATGTCAAATGGGTGTTGCTCTATATGTTTCATTGAGGGGAAACGTTCTTCCGCTGCGGGTAGATTTCAACACCCTCAACCACTCCATCTTACTCTCTCGCCTGCAATCCCTCGACATCACCGACAATGTCCTCAAATGGCTTCACTCATATCTCACAGACAAGAAACAATTCATTCACATCGACAACTGCTCCTCCCTCCACTGACCCCCTGTCCCATGGTGTCCCCCAGAGCTCTGTGCTTGATCCTCTTCTCTTCGTCCTCTACCTTCTCCCCCTCGGCCAAACCACTTTCACTGCCGCCCAAACCCTCATGCACGCCTTCATCACCTGCCGCCTCGACTACTGCAATACCACGGTACAACTTCCAAACTCCTCAATAAACTACAAGCACAAAACCTGGGGGAACCGAGCCTCCTCTGTCTTTGAGTACTGTCAAAAACGCTTTCAAATAAATTGTATTGTTATTCTAACTATTATTTCAAGTACATGTCGTGAAGTAGGCCAGGGGAGAATATACGTATGGTCACCGTGTATTAATAGTAGCCAGAAAAGCAACGACAGGCCAGACATGCCACTCAAATATGCCCGAGATGCCCCTGACATTCTCCTAGCCGAATCTCGTCTTTGTGTGTGTCTGTGTGGTCAGGGTGCGTTGCCTCATACCGGCTGGCTTAAGACCAGGGTAAATACGCTCCAGAAAAGTCCCGATAAGCAACACAATGGAACGCTATAGAATATGTCGGCCAAAAGTACGCAATGACTTCAGGAAAATCCACAGAACATTTAGTTAGAGCTTTTTGCACTTTTTTTTATTAGATACACCACTTGCAGAATTGAATACAAGATTTGTATTACTATTGTGTTCTTGGTCTTAACAAAGGATAATAATGCGCTTTTGATTGCCTCTAATGCCGGTATTATTTCATTGAGCTAGCATGTGCCCCATGTTCTTAAAAAGGTCATTTTGATCATTTTTGCCCCAGTCCAAAATCCCCCCTCGCCACGATATCGAAACAATTGTGGCTACGCCCCTTTTTCAAGTGGCAAAATTATTGTACGTGTGGTCCTATTGTCTCCACATACACAGTATGTGCATATTTTGTGCTCTGGGATAAAGGTCCGTGAGTCCATTAATCATTCTTAAGGCACTTCTAAAGCACAAGGCAACAAAAACTCCAGCATAAGACGCCACCAGAAAGAATTTAGCTGTCTTCAGTTGAGCTAATAGCACCAGCACCACCATTGGAACCCATGATTGCAATCACAACATCATGATTTGGTCACGGTGAGCTCTCTTGTTACATAAAACCCCACCGTCCGCATTTCTCAATCTGCTCTCCTTATCACCCTTAGTCGTTGACAGAAGCGTGTTCGGCCCCGCGCCATGTGAGCCCCACGGAAGCAGGCAGACCCTTTTTTTGTTTTGTTTCACAACGCATGAATGGGGGGGTTGAAAAAGGGAAGCTAGCAAGGTAGTGGACGTGCAGTAAAACGAGCAGCACTACGCACACACTTTTCCGTGTTCATGCAAAAAGCGTAACCGGGCTTTTAATTTCAGAATAGAGTAATTTGAAATAATTTGCATGGCTCAGGCGAGATTCCGTTTTACGCGCGGCGACACCCTGCAGGAAGCTCTACTGTTGCATTCTGGAAACACTCATCGTTCAAAAGCAATCATATCGTCCGATCATGAAACAAACGAACAAACAAAAAAACAAAATAGCTTGGAATTAATTTCAATCCTGCGCATACGTGAAGTGATCTGTCATTTCCCGAGTGTTAAACCGACAAAATCCACACATTCAAGCCAATTTCAAACAATAAGAACTGTTCACACCTCAATGCTAAATGATCAATTTGAAGATGCAGCGATTGCATGCAGGATAAAAGTGAATTAAAAAAAAAAAAAGGGAGAAAAGTATATAAAAGGGCTTACTTACCAAGTGTGAGTGGACGGCAATTGTAAGAAGCGGCAAGCAGCAGGAGGAGGAGGAGGACTATTGGAAAGAAGAGATGGAGACCCTTCCCATTTAACAAGCAAGGAGACGGAGTGGAAATTTCCATGTGCCATGTGATGACGGCAGCTCGTAAAGCTTCGTGTTACACTACTGGGTGGTGGGAGGGTGGAGGGGTCCCGAAGTGACACCCCAACACCCACCCCCATCGACCTCCGGCAATGAGCAACACCCCCCCATGCGGTTGTCTCAAGTGTCTTCAAGTGATCTTTGGAGTATCCAATCCAAACGGTTTTCAAAGGAATTAAAAATAGAGTCCGAGTCGAGGTTCGCCTTTGTTTACATTCCGTCTGGCCACATTAGAGGAAAACAGGGACAATCCGGAAGGGAAAGTTAAGGAAGGATGACTCAGAGACTTAGTGGATTCTCCACCGAAATACACGAGGAACTAATCTCGGAGCTTCATTTTGGGAGACATTGACACCTCGGTAACAGTTGTTGGAGATGGAAGACGTTTATTATCAGTTGCGCAATAAGAAGAGGAAAAGCGGTTGCGACTTAGCATTCACGGGAGAAAAAGAACAGGCATCTAAATCAACTTCAATAATCACGATATACTCATTTGAACCCTTTCATGCACAAATAATAATAACCTACATCAGGATTTTTTTTCTGAAGTGTTTTTATTAGTCTTTAGACATGAAAAAAAATAATGGCAGTGGATGGCAACACACGTAAGGATCCATTGTGGTGGTTGATGCACAACTGTGACATTAAGATGAATTAATTCACAAAGTTTTCCAAGACATAAGCCATCGCTCGGCAAATGTATTTGATTTTTTTTCGAGAATTGCACGGAAAATTTTGAGAGGCGAGCGCTATGCGGCGGCAACAAACAACAGGCAGCTGTTTGGCAGATAGTAAGCAATTCTCCTCCCTTCCCCCCCAAAAAAGAGGCCAAGTGCTTCTGAGAGCTGTTTGTTGCCGCTCCCACTTGAAGTTGATTGCGAACGAATAAACATCCAGGAGAATCCCATCCGTATTGAACTCAACCACTCACTTTGTCCACCAGCTTAAAGCGAGTGCATGATTTGCCACAAACGGGCGGATAAAATAAGTTTCGTGTTTTTGTTTGTGTGGGCCTGTCACGGATTAATGGCATTGCCATTCATTTCAATGGGGAAAGACGCTTTGAGAAAGAATCGAAATCTACGTGATTGTGAATAGAGAGGACGCAAAGGCAATGATCACACTCGATTAACATTTCTGAGCTGCAAACGTCACTAAAGTCAACACAACGATACTAATGCGAACTTTTAACCTAGATATTAGGATTTTTCTAAATTTTTTTTCTATGATTTTTCTATGTTTTTCTAAAGCTAGAAATAGGCAAGGACAAACAATTCTCGGGGCCCGCGGGAATCTCTGCTGTCAACTTTTTGGTGCCGAAATTAATGCGATCTCATGGTCAGAGTCGCTCTCCGGAAAAAAAAAAAAATCTCATGAGACCGTAACTCTTTCTTCTGACAGCGATTAAATATTATTCTGGCCCTGTGGATATGCTCTCCGGAGCATTCAAGGTCACCAGAAAAGAAAATCACTCGGTATTTGTGTTCAATTTGCATCCCTCTATCCTATTCGCAACAGTCCAAGGACAGGTGAACACTGTTTTTAGGTTTCATGGCGCTAAAAGCTCAAGTGAATTTGAAAGTATGAACGGAAAACCCCACAGTGTTTTATTGCAGTTCCGGAAAAAAAAACAGTCCCAAAGCATGCCTGTGGTGGCGGCAGCATTATCCTTTGGGACTGTTTTTCTTAAGCTGCAACTAGGGTCGAAGTCAAAGTGAAGGGAATTAGGAACAGTTCCCAGTACTTGGTCAGTTTTAGCACAAAATTTTCAGGCTTCCGATAGAATGCAATAAAAATGTCAGGGAAAGCATACTAGAACAGCAACATTTGATTTAAAGTTCACCAGGCACACTTGGTGGCAAGTGTGAGCTGTTTCCCATTTAACATGGTTCATTTTGAATGCAACCACCACAGCATTATTATTATTATTTATTTTATTTTTATTTATTTATTTTTTTCATGCCAGTTCCATCCAATTTAGTCAAACCTCAACCACCACAGCATTATTATTATTATTTTTTTTTTCATGCCAGTTCCATCCAATTTAGTCAAACAGGTTATCGGTGAAAAAAAGGTATGACGTTACTCCTCAGACACAATGTGAAAAAAAAAAAGGTGAAAAAAAAGGTATGACGTTACGCCTCAGACACAACACGAAAAAAAAAAATCAATTGCATCACCGTAATGCAATCGGCCTTAAGAAAATGAGCAAATTCCAAATCGAAATTGAATTCAAATGATCTCCACCTCCATTTAAACTTCTCATATTGAAAAAAATAAAATAAAAATGACAGGCCGCCAGTTCACGAGAAACATTAGCAATCACGCCCGCTCTGCGCAAACACAGATGAACTTGACCCCC